CTTTTTTAATTTCACACTTCATTATTTATACATTAATTTCTTAACATATAAATATATTTATATAATGTGTAATATATTTTACCTTTTGTAGAAAATACTGCAAATCCTTTTTGCAGAGTTGGAGTACATGTATTCTAATATGAGAAAATATTATGTAATTACTTAAGAATGAATCAAGGAAAAAAATAATGTGAGGAAATGTTATATTAACAGAATTTTTATTTGGGGATTAAATTTAATGTTTAGTTACAAACATACAGTACTCATATATGGAAAAACAAGAGCAGAATTTGAGCTCAGCTGCACATAATGATTGTCACTAAATATTTTCCTTATGTGATACTGAAAAAGAAAAGCATAATTTTGAATCATTTAATTAAATATTACAACACAGCAAATTTTTATGTAATAATTTAGCAATTAGATTCAGTTGATTTTTTTTACCTGAAGTCAGAGAGTAAGGTGTTTCATGTTAATGTAAATGGGTATGTCTGAGCAATTAAAAATGCTATGTAAAAGAACAGTATGCAATAAATATAAACTTAGTATCTATAAAAATTTTGTGATGTAAACCTCCTTTGTATTTTTAACTTTATAAGGGACTTTATGTAAAATTTTATAACTGATTTTTTTCTAGAGGATGGTATGTAACACTCTTGCTAAATTCTCTAATTTATCTGTAAATTATTTTTTAAAGTGATGGGATCTCCCTCTCTTGTCAAAATTGGAGTCCAGTGATACAATCATAGCTCACCATAGCCTTGAACTCCAGGGCTCAAGCAATTCTCACATCTTGGCCTCCCAAAGTGCTAGGATTAAAGGTATGAGCCACTAAACCCAGCCCATCTGTAGTTTATTTCGAACTTTATACATAAAAAGTATTTCATTTATTTAGTCATTCTTGCTTTTATAAATGAAAAGTATTTTATTGATTCATTCTTGCTTTCCTATATTGGCTACAGTTTCTAGTACTATGTTGGGCAGCATTTGTGATAATGAACATCCTTGCTTTGCTTCCTATCTAAAAGGGAATATTTCAAATTCAGTATAATTAGCATAGTGTACAGTTTTTGTAGATATCGTTTTTTTTTCTGATTAAGAAAGTCCATTTCTAATTTGCCAAGAGTAAACATATGCAAATACTGAAAATTTTCAACCCTTTACCAAACTTTATCATTATTTTGCTAATGTAATTACTTCTCTAATGTTAAATTGCCATTTCAATACAGGAATTAACTTCAGCTTGATCATGATAGACTTTACCTACTCCGTGCTGTTTGATTTGGTCATTTTAAGATTATGATTTTCTCTCTATGTTGATATGTAACATTGTCCTATTATCTTATTTTGGATTTATGTTATACCAGCCTCATCAGGAATGCTCCCTTATTTTTCTATATTATGGAAGATGAATTTATAATATCAAAGTAATCAAATTTTAATGAAATACATTATTTCTTCTAATTTCAAGGCTTAACGGTTCTTTTCTCTGTTTAATGAACATTTTCCTTACTGTATCTCTCAAGATAGAAATAACTAGAACAGTATTTGTCAACCTTTACACTAATCGTTTTTTACATATATAAAAATTAATGCTCTATACTGCTACCTCTTTTGAAACTGTGCTCTCATTTGTTTTCTAACCTTAAGAAACAATCAATTGTACAAGGAAAAGAATAGTATTTCAAGAAGCTTTTCTCTGGAAATATAAAATTCACTTCTTTTGACTAAGGATGAATGAGTCTGTACAAAGTAATTAAGCCAAAGTAGTGCCTGAATTATCAAAATGAATCTTATAGTAAGCACACAATAACATTTAACTTTTACGTGTATGTGTAACAAAGTCGTATAAAATTTAACTTGGGGTACATTTTTGAAAAGGAATGGTCTGGGCCATAAATCTCTTGGGCTTGTGGCTATGTCATGTTTTTATTTATAAACTATGAATACACATATAAAAATAACTGCATTTTCTGTATTTTATTTTTATTTTAAATAATTAAGATTTTAATGGTCATGAGTAAAGTAAACTGCTTTTTCACCCTTTGGAACAAGAGAGTATTTCACTGTATTTCAAAATGTAGACAGATTTTAAAGGGCTTTTTCTGTAGGCACTGTGAGTTCAGGAGCAGTTACATTTAATTGGATGACTGATCAGTTTGAAAGGTATACAGTTATGAACGCGGCAAGTTCTCTGTTGGCTTGGTATTTTGCTGTTTCAGGAGAAGCTCAATTTCCTAATGGATATCTATGCTAATATAAGATTGTAACCAAAGAAGAAAATAATTTAAAAATCTCTTAAATTTTCAGAAAATTTGATGTGTGTGGCTATGTATACTTATATATATAACACAAATTAACAGATTTTAAAAGTATGTACAGTTAAAGATCCACTTTGCAAGTGCTGCATTTGTCAATAGAGAAAATATATAAAAAAAAGAATGACTGAATATTACTTTTCACCTGCTAATCAGAAATCAAATACAATATTTCATAAAGAGAAATGAATAGATTTTAATATCTAAGATACCAGGTATTTCATGTATGTTTTTATTAAACATTAACTACTCCATATAACAAAATAGTCAGTTTTTAAAATTACAGTATTAAAATAAGCAGAAAAAAAGTTAACATTCAACTCAGATATATATTAATAACAGCAGTTTTTGACAATACTAGTCCTTAAAGGAAGCAATAAAATGTTTGGTTTCTATACAGTCAAAACACTTAGACTGAACCATAAAAACAAATAACTTACAAATGATCCCTTATAATTCATGCATTGCATACATTAAATCACTTTGTATTTTACCAGTTATATTAGTGTATTGAATTCAAGCCTATAGTTGTTTTGAATTAAGAAATCATTTATTTGCTTTATTTACTTATGGTCATAACAGTCTAAACTGTTATAAGTCAAATGGTAAGAACAGCTCTAATGAGTACCTGAGGAAGATTTTGAAAGCATTCCTACCCAAGAATTAACAAAATTATTAGAGATAATTCCTAACACATTTGGCCCTTCACATCTATGAGTTCTGTAACCACAGATTCAAACAACTGTAGATTTAAAATATTTGAAACAAAAGACTCCACTAGACTTTTTGTCTTGTCATTATTCCCTCCAAACACAAGAAAAAACTATTTACACAGTATTTACATGGTATGAAACATTATAAGTAATCCAGAGAAAATGTAATGCGGACGAGAAGATGCGCATAAGTTACATTGCGACTACTACGCCACTTTATATCAGGGGTGTCCATGGGAGTTCACAGAACAAATCCCCCACAGATACTGAGGGATGACTGTAAATATTTTTTAAAGGAGAAAAAACCCCAGATATTCATATAATTATAAACTACTAAGTCATTATTCCATCAGATTCCAAACACAGATCAGATTCCACATTCTTCCGTGGAGAATGACATTTGGAACAAAGACAGAATCTGTTTTACAGTCCTGTGAAATCTGATTGCCACTGGCTGGTTGGGTAACACGCTGGGGAATCCCCGAAGCTCAGCAGTGAAGTCCACTGTCTACAACAAGAGCAATGCAGAGCATGGTGGCGTCTGTGTTGAGGATGTGTTGACCTTGTTTTTACACTTTTCCCTATTCATGTAAATACTTCATAAAACTTATTTTCTATAACGGTGGGTTCAAATACACTACATAAGCAATGACAAAAATTTCTCTGTAGTACTTCTCCAACCAAACTATAGTAAGACGTGGTATGTTATAAAGATCATCAGGTCTGACATAGTTATTCCTATACACAGCACATAGTGGTTAACCGGATAGAAGAAAGAAGAAAAAAAATCCACAGGTTGTATTTGTACGGCTGTTCCTTGAAGGTGCCTGGTTATATCAAAGTATCATTATAGTGATTTATTCTTGTATATTCCCCTAAAAAGTAGTCATATTATCACTACTGCACTAATTTCCTATGGCCTGATCATTCTCGGAGAAATGGCAAATTCTTATATTATAAATAATTTAACATTAATGATTCCTCTTTTCCAAAACATGGTATTTTACTTCAAAACCATTGTTTTAAAAGCAAATTTTATCATCTGATGGGCTATTTTATAATAAATTTCCATCCTAATTTATGTTTCTGAATGGATGACATTATGCTCTGAAAATTTATATGTATTTTTTCATTGCCTATTGTCCCTTTTAATAGGATTAAATATCTAAGAAATGACATTTATGTAACAGGATATATGTTACATGTTTTAACTATAGTTCTATATCAACTATAAAAATAGGGTGCATTTTATTATTTAGCTTATAAAGTAAAAGGATTCATTTTTAGCATATATGGTAGCAATTAATCACAAGTATTTTAACCTAAAGATACAATAAAATAAAGAAATTATTAGATACAATAATTTAAAGTATTATCCTTTAGAAATATTATTTTGATCGTTATTATAAAGCATTAAAATTAATTTAAAGCCAAACTTCAGGATTTATTTTATATGTGAAAGAATTTCATTTCTATGTTTCTAAAATCTAAAGTGGTTCAGTAAATTTTCTCTGTGCTTTTGTTAAAAATAACTTAAAATATTAAAAAGCAATCCAATGATAGTAACTTCCTGATTTCTTAGATGATAATTGGTCTCTGATTAAATACATGAATAATGAAAATACATTAAAGACTGACAAAGTATCCCCAATATATTGATATTTAGGGCATCATATCTTCATGATAATTCTGAAACAATTGCTTTCTTAATAATTGAGAAGCAATTTTAACTTTTTTTTTAAAAAGTGTATTTCATAGCTTCTAAGATCTGAAATTCAGCAGAGTAAAGCAAAAACAGTGTACATGAGAAATAATTATGTTCTAGGTAACGAAAACTCTGCAAATGGTGATACAAACTGTGCTGAAGAAAGCAGGCCTTCCTCACACAGTGTGGTCACAGTAAGGCTTAAGGTATCTTATTATATTTTTGATTTTTAAAAATAGACTATTATTTAAAGCAGTTTTAGGTTCACAGAAAAATTGAGAGAGGTACAGTGATTTTATTATTCTTAAAAATTTCATCATTATTGGAGAGTTATCCAGAGTCTGAATGCCAATACAATGAAGTTGACTGAAGCACTGAAAAAAGAATTAGAACTAAACATGTACATTATTATCTTTCAGGCTTTTTGTTTTCCTGATAGATGTATCAAATACACACACAGTCTTATTTCTTGGGGCTGACGGTCCAAATAGAACATAACTGGGTACTGCTTTATGCAACACAAGCACGTTATCTACTATAAAATGAAAATTTAGCTGCCATAGAATCAGAATTTCACTTTCAGTCAGAAATGCAGTAAATTATGCCAGAAGGAATGTCACTCACACAATGTTCCCTCCAGGTATTTTCTCAGTACGTTATTGTGAGGGGAGGCGATGATAATATCTCTCTGATGTAAAAATTATTTTTATTAAAGATAACAGTAACAGTGCATAATGATTTGGGGCAGTTTTCTTTCCACCCAAAAGGCATTTATTAAAATTAGCTGATTCAATAATTAGCTGCCCACTAAGAACTAGGCAGCTAGTGATTTAATGTATAAGTTGCTCTTTCCTTAATGTATTTTTCAGACCACTTATGAGTCAGTTCTAGATAAAGACCTGGTTTATGAGGGCGGTAATCAAGGTACACCGTGTTACTGGTTCTTTTGGGAACAGCTTTTTCAATCTGAGTTCCTTCATGCCACTCATTAAAAGATGTGATAGAAACTAAACTGGGGTGCGTCTGCAGTGCGGCACTCAGAGCAATTTCATAATACTTCCCATTGATGCGGTTCCGAGTGTTCTGAGTATTCCACGGACGGATGCTGGTATCTATGTATCCTGGGCCCACACTTGGGATAAATATTAAGTTGTGCTGATCACAGAAGAATTTTAGGCTAGCCCAATTCTGATGTGATGAGCCATAAGTAAAGCCATTTGTGGCAAAATATGTGTAAATTCCATCGAAACCACTTTGAAGAATGTCATTTTTATGTTTTTCTTCTACGAGAAGTGCAATAAACAATCCATCATAAGGTGAATTGCGAATACTCTGAGACCCTGAGGTGGTTAACAGATTGGCCCATTTTTCAGGCGTGGTGATATAAGAATCATAGACATAAAACATAGGAAGAGCTTTGCCGGTCTTTGTCTTGTACCTGTAAAAGGCTGGATGACTTCCATATCTGGAACACAAGCATAGGTAAAAATGAAATGAATATTCACAACCCATTTCCATAGACAAAAACTGTTTACGTGATGAAAATAAAGGAATCAGTATGGTTTAAGCACATTGCTCCATTTCTTCAGGGAATCCATTATGTAAGTATAATTGAAAATGCATTTTTAATTTTACACATTAGAAAATTAGGTACTGGATGCATTACCAAGTAAGAGATCAGTTATCACATATTGAGATTTACAAAAGATGATTAATGCCCTAAAAAGCCTATTATTTTCTAAATGAATACATAAACTGCTTTTCTTGTATCAGTAATAATTATGCTACTGTTCCTGACAAGTTTCTCTGTGATAGTGCAGCATCTCTCAGACTGTGATCAGTAACATCCTTTAACAAAATGAAACTGTATTAACAAATTCTTCTTTTTTTGTAAAGACTAGATATAAATGAAAAGATTAATTATGGGTCCAGCACTAAAAAGCAGTTTGCATTTCATAATCTGAATCTTCTTTTTAAGAAGATATAACTCTGAGTTGCTAAAGATTTAAAAAATACTATCAATTTAAAATTTCAATGATAGAAACCCAAAACAGCCTTATAAACCTTGTAAAATAGTAAAAGTAGAAATCTTTATTCATACAAAAAACAAATTGAAAAGAATTTGAGAAGTGTAACTCAAAATGATTATGAGATTCATTTTAAGCACAATTCAAATTAATTTTATTAAAAATATCAGATTATAAATCATTCAAATCTCTCAAAAATAACTTAATGTACTCTTATTATAACAATAATTATTAGAGGATCACATAACAGTATTTATAAACATTGAAGAAACTCACTTGTCTATAATATACTTGACATTTTTGTACATGTTTTGATCATCTCGATTGCTGTATGGTTCTATGTGAAAAGTGACCTAAAACAAACAAACAAAAGTACCAATTAGAGAAAAAACTACCTGTAGTCTAAAACTAAAAATGAAAGTATATTCCATATATTTATTAAAGTGACTGATTTAATAATCTTAATTTAAGATGAGTATTTATTGAACACAGAAGTTACCAGAGAATTCTTAGTAATAACATTTACTAAGAATTTCTTCAGCTATATCATATACTAAACATTTTATATTTATTACCTCAGTTAATCTTTACAACTCCATAAGGTAGTTACTATAACTATTTCCATTTTTTAGATGAGGCAATCAAAGTTAAGATAGGTTTAGTAACTTGCCCAGATAGGTTCAGTTAGAAGCATACAGGCAATCTGAATTCACTCAAATGCTCAACCATTGTGCAATGCTTTTTTAATGTTTATTCCTTATAAAAATATCTTATTTACTTATATTCTATATAAAATATATAGAGAGAATATAAAAGAATATGCCATATAGTCAAACATACCTTCTTTTGAAGAAATGCAAAATACATATATGTGTGTGTGTATATATATATATATATATATGTGTGTGTGTATGTGTATGTATATATGAGATCCAGAAAAATATGGATTATTTTTTCAGATATGTGAACATTAAATTTATATTTAAAAGGACGCAATAGTAAATTTCTTTAAATGACAAATTCTTCTACTTCACTAAGATAGCATTTTACAAAACAGTGTGCATTTAATTTGTGCTATTATTTAAGGAATATATAATGATATTACTGAAAAAATAATACCCATTAGCACTATGAAGGACAATAATTTTCTTGACATGTAAATTATTGAGATGTTCGTGTCTCTTAGATGATAGTAGAAAGCAGTAACTAAAAATATTTTTAGAAAACTATGCACAGACTTAAATTTTTTAACTAAAAACAGTCAGCTGTGCCTAAATCAATAAAAACTAATTTTGGCTAATAAAACCATTTTGTATGCCACTTCTAAAGTAATGTGGATAATACAGATGATAATTACCATAAATGAAATTTTTGCAAAGAATTTTAGGATTTTCACTTTCATTCCTAATTTTACTGATTTACCAACAGCAATTAAAAATCTTTATGGAAATCTAATAAATTTCTTGCTACTGTTTTTATTTTAGGTCTCAGGTTCTATGTAGTTCTTTTGAAACTAGAGACTTCTACTGTGATACAAAACTTTGTTTTCAATCACCCGAATTAAATCAAAAGATATTTTCCATTAATCAGTGGTGTTCATTTTCACAGAATCTATTTTTAAGGTCAGATAGTATTTAGTGAAAATATAATTCCCTACTTTTAATAACATGAGATTACACTAATATTACATATAAGAAGTTTTTGTCAGCAATGAAGGTCAAATTTGTTTTTGCAGTATATTGCTAGTATTGCTAGAGTAACAGCTACTAGGGCAGTTTGATTTTTCAGTAGTTTTAGTATTTGCTTTTTAACTTCAGTTGAAAAAAAAACTGTCAAATACATAAATATTTTCAGACTTATATAATGTTGCCTTGAGTAATTCTTCCTTCAGATAGCACATTACATTTTCTAAATTTCCATTGTATATAAAAAGGACACCACATTTAAGCAAATATCCTTTATCAAAATGATCTTAACTTTAAAGCTGTAAATTTTAAAGATGAAGTGCTTCTTTTGTAAAGTGCAAATCCACATATTTGCGAAACCAAAAAGCCAAACCATTCCCCCAATTCAGGTTTCTAGTTTTGACCTTGCCAGTCTCTTCTCTAACCTGCAGCCAAAGTGAACTTTCTGAAGTGAAAAATCTGACTACATTTTTCTCCTTCTCCAACCCTTCCATTCTCTATGCTCACCCCTACGCACGCTCCAGCCTTTGCCACTGCAGAAATGAGGTAGGTCTTCCTACCCTAATACTTTGTACTTTTCTCTTCCTGCAATTTACTTATCTTGCCTAATCTCCAATAGGTTGCAAGGTCTCTGAAGGACAGAGCTAATACGTATCTTCTTAATATTGCCAGCATCTGGAACAGTATCTGGCACAAAACAGCAATAAAAGAATGCATGCAAAAATAAATGGATGAATGATTTTCATGCAAAAATGGCAACACTCAAATTAGACTCTAAGCTTTGCCAATGATACTCCACTTAGGTAAGATTCACCAAGTTTCCACTATAAATTCACAGTGTTCATTTAGGAACAAGAAAGAAGAAAAAAGAGAGATCATGGATAATAGATTTCAAATGAATCTGAAAAATCACTTAAGAAACAATCACAGACATACTTATAAGCAGTAGTCACCTGGTCAAAAATCTGCATGTCTTAAAATCAGAAATAATGATGACTCTGGAGGCATATGGAAAGAATAATGAATGCTGATAAGCCAATGGTATGCGATTTATGTATGCTTCTTTATAAAATAGAAGGAAAACTTGCTACTCTAAAATAAAAAACTAAATTTATTAAAATGCAAGACCATAAGTGGCTGAGTTGGTTTCCCCCTACAATACTGAGCAAAGGTCTAAGAACCACTGGAACTGCTTGACTTCTCTTACCTAAATGAATGATTTAATTCAGTCAGGTTTTGATGTGATGTCGCTGTATATCAAACAGGCCAACCATCTCAATGACTTACAAAGACAAGCATTTGCTTCTTGAACATAAGAGCTGGCTCTGCTCTAGGGTGTGGACCTTGTTCAAATTAACCTCCTGTATCTGTCATTCTGGGTCCTTGTCAGAAGGGGGCACAACCACATAAGCACAAGGCAGAGACTGTGTCTTCTCACAGCTTGTGAAGGAAAGCAAGCCATGAGGCCAAACCCAACAACAGTAAGACAGAAGGACAGGACACACACTCATTCTGCCTGTGAAATGGGAGGTAAATAGGGACATTCACCAGGCAATGACAGAAAATACCAAACAACTCCATTATGTATCGCTGAAAACATTATTTTACTACTGTGTTCTTAACAGAGAGACAAGATACAGTGGACAGGATCCAGCTGAGTTTTATTAGATGACAGCTCTTGCTCCAGTGAATATGCAGATCAGAATATAACACATAAAATAATAATCTAAATCTCTCTGAAAAATCATGACAGATCTTAGTTTCACTCCTTTACATTTCCAAAAAAATCCATATTTGTTAAGAATAATGCAAAACAAGTAACTAAAACACTAAATACTTTTTATTCTTATTTGTTCATATCATTAATAATAATTTAAAAAGCACTCACCTAAAATAACTCTTGGTTTAAGTTAATTAAAATTGAAATTGCAAAGTAATTAGTGACTAATACTAGTTAAAATATTATGAACAGTAAACCGTTAAACCCAAGCCAAGAATGAGGAACACATTAATAAAGATTAAAGAAGAATTAATACATGACAATCATTAGAATTATTTTAAAAATAAAACTGATAAGTGGAAAGGTGGAAAGCTAAACAAATTAATATTAATCAAATTGGGGTAAAAGGGCAGATTATTTCCTTGCTTTAAAGATTAGCAAGAAAAAAGACAAGTTACTAATGAACTCATTTTAGACTTAAGAGTTTAGAGGTTAGTTATGTGCATTGTAGGCCTTAATTTATCAGCACAGAACTCACAACATTAATCTTTTTGTATCATATTGCCTCAGTACTTTAAATAATGTCATTAATTAAACACACCAACAGTCCTTTATATATCAGCAAGCAAAAGGGAAAGTTTTCCATTTTTTAACAAAAACAAGATTACATTTTAATTATAAAAATAATATCTGTCTATATAATATCACAATAGAAATCACAGAAAAATCCAATAAATAAAGCTATTTTATGGTTTCATCCTGTGATTTCATAAATGAGGGGGATGATCCTAGAACTATTGAAAGGCAGATTCCAGGAGGGCTCAGCTGGAGCAGCCTCAGTCTCCTGGTTCCAGGTCTATCCTTCTTTACACTATGAAGAGTTCTTCCCCAAATGTGAAGCCAAGAAATTGTTCCAAAAGTTTTGGAAAACATTAGTCTATCAAGTTCCAAATGTTTCTGATCATTACTTATAAAATCTAAAACAAATACTGTTGGCAACATTCACGAAGACAATTAGCGGTTGAGCTCTTTGCCACAGTCTCCTACACAGACACTTCAAACAAGAGACAAACCAATCTATCTTCATGCACCAGAACATTTCACTTTACTGTTAAAAATCTCTTAAAGAACGGAAACAGCCAGTTTCTTGAGCTCCCATCCCCCAGGATTATAGCAGGCCCTGGACAGAAGAGTGACTCTGGGACCTGTTTTGCAGAAGATAAATCAATCACTCATCCAGATTCAGACGGGGTGCCAGAACCAGGAGGCTTGCCTATTTGCAGATTTCAAATGCCAATGAAAACTCACCGAATGGAACTGGGGGACATGGCAGGTGACAGCTCTTCTCAGTCAGCTAATTTGAGAGACGCTGTCTTAACAGTTTCGGGATTGTAAAGCAGAAAGAGGCAGCTTTATGGACAGGAATAAAAAAATGCTGCCTAGTTAGCTATTCCTCTCTCCCTAGAGTTCCATATCTATCCTCCAATAACTACTAAATCTCTAAGTTACAAAAGGAAAATTAAAACTACTTTTTCACATTTCTATTTGAAACAAAATATTCCAACAATGATCCACATCACCTCTTAACAAAGTTCAATTGCCAATACTGGAAAAGCTAGACTGTCCTCCATTGGATAGACAAAGCAAGAAATTACAGAGCCAAAGAAAGCTCCAGCAATTTTTAAAAGTGACAGCAATCTGAGAACTCAGGGTCAATGGTTAAAAGACACTCAAATTCACAATTTTAGTGAGAGCTGCAAACACATTTATTATGTAAGAATAAACTCTAAGAAACATGGGCAATCAGAGGCCAAGGGATATTAGATTTGAAACATGAAAGCCTCAGGACATAGAACAAGGTGGAGACTGCAGAAAGCGCACTGAACTAGTCTCCCAGGACAACATCATGAACAGCATTCCTTGACACTTGACTTGAAGGGATTCCTGA